ATATTAATTATAAATACAAATATATAATTAGCTTTTTTAACTGTTTATTTTATTTTAATTATAATTAATTATAATATTTATAATATATTTGTAAATAAATTGTTATATTATATAATTCTTTATTAAACTTTATAGATTTTTTTTATATATATTGATATATGATTTAATATATTAATTTTTTATATTACATTTTTATTCATATTTTGTTTTTATATTTCATATTGTATATTATATTATATTTTATTTTTTATATATAATTTTCAGATTTACAATATAATATTATTTTATTTATAATTATTATAATATGATTTTTATTTTATTTTTAATAAATAAATATTATAATAATTTTAAATTTTGTTTAATATAAATCAAATAATTACTATAAACAAACTAATATTTAATTTATTATTAATATACTATATATGTGAAATGTATTTTTTAAAATATATAATTTGCAAAATACAAATTAATTAAAAAAAAAAAAGAATATTTATTTACTTTTAAAAAAATATATAAGATAAAAAATTGATTAAAAACTAGTTGTATAATTTATTATAGTATAGTATAATGTAAAAAAAATTATAGAAATATATTATGTGTATATTATATATATATATATATACAATATGTATATACGGATATATTAATTTTTTTTAACAATAATATGGCATATTATATACTGTATATAGTTTATCAATTCAAAAAATTGCAATATAGATAATTTAAACTAGCACATAATAGAAAAAAATAGAAATTAAAAAAATATATTATAATTATTATTATAGTTATTATTATTTATATTGCGAAAATGAAAATGGTACAAAACTTTTTGACGATTATGATAACTGTAAAATTTGTTGTATATTCTATTGTTTTTGATTATCATTGATTTCGAATTAAGATATTAAAAACATGCATTGAGAAAATCGATGTATTTTTCTTTTAAAAATGATTAGTAAGATTAATTAGCGAGGATGATCTAACGAATGGAACTTAAATATTGTTTTCGAATATTGAACCTTAAAATATTTTAAAAAATTTACGGCGACCTATGATGATTATAAATATCAAATATGATAGGAGGATACAAACTCATTCATTCTATGGAGAAAAAGAAATCCAAAGACATTTGCCTAATTCATTCTGTTGAGGGACAATCTATGTTATTATCGAACAACTTATGTTTCCGGTTTGTACAATGAACAGGAGCTACTTGCATCGTTGGAGGCTTATGCTTTCGTTTTGTACAAAGGAGTAGGAACTATTTGCACATCGTTAGAAGCATCTTACAATAATCTGTACATGGTGCATATAAGATTGTTTGAGAGACTCATGAGTTGTAAAACAACGTCATTCGGCGAAGCTTCCTCGAAGTTACCGAACGTTGCCAAAAGTGTGCGACCCCTACGGACATATCGATGACCCGAATTCCATCATTAAGGCGTCACTGTTTGTGTAGATCCGAAAGTTGAAAACCTTAAACTTTGATAGACCGGTTCAAACTTTACCGAAACATATTCCCTTAACACCTCTTGGTGTAACAAATCTATATTCAATAGATAAGAAATAGGATTGTGGATTTGGCCGAAGTTAATAGAAAGATTTGCTCAGGCTTCTGTGAAAACGATTCATTTTTGGCATGGCGTAAAATGCAAAACCGATGAAACAATGTGTGGGTAAGGTATTCGAAATCTTTGCCAATACGGAGAAATGATACTTCAATAGAATAATCCAAAACTTTGCCAATACGGAGAAATGATACTTCAATAGAATAATCCAAAACAAGACAACAATATTGTGCTTGGTGACGTTAAACGTTGTAAATTTCCAATTCACATTCCATTCTTTAACTCCCTAATTTGGAATCATACTAAATTAGGTGCATGCGTTAATTAAGTGATTTGCCAAACAACAAAACCCTATGATGCCAAATCCATTTATATTCAATAAGATGATCGGGCTCATGAAGCATACGAAACATACGAAACATGAACAATACATAATCAACATTGTTATTATTCGCGTCGCAGTAACATTGTTTTCTCGTCAATTGATACAATCCTCGAGCATGCAACCACCAAAGTGCATTTATCAAATTCATAAAGAGTGTTGTTTATAGGTATAGGCATTCGAAATTTTGTTATAAATACGCTCAATCCTCTCCTTACTTTTTTTTCCTCAGTTCAAACAAATTCTTGAAGAATTTAAAGAAATCCAGTTTTTTAACACTCAAAAATTTACATTCTCAGAAAAAAAAAAAAAACTACCACCAATTTTTTTCTTAATAACAAAAAATCAAAAATGAATCCCACTATCATTTCTACCTCTGCTACTACCACCAATGCCACAGAGAAACCCGCAGGCAATGATCCAACCAACGCATGCTCCATATTGAAATCCCCCGGTTCTATCCTTGGGGTCACTGAGAAACCCGCAGGTGGCGATCCGACTAACCAATGCTCCATCATGTAAATCGAATTACATGAAATCATCCGCCGAATGTATAATTTTGATCCATTTGGAGTCTTAACGTCAACGGGGTGGACTTTTTTTTTTATTTTCAAAAATTTGTGTTAATTCTCTGGATTTTACTATAGTATTTAATTTTAAAAAAAAAAAAAAAAAATCACACAATCCTTTTAATGTATTCTTTTTCTTTTTTTCGGAGTATCTAGTATCAGGCATCTAGATATTTCTAATAAAAATTTTGTAAACGTTTACTTTGCCAAAGAAAAATGCTTCTTTGTAAGTGACATACACAATGTTTCCAATGAGTTTGAATTTGATTGATGCCAAATTATGTATTTTTTGCACAAAATATTGTATGTTTCTGAAAGACGACAGATACGTCACGATACTATTTAACTATTTCCTGCTTCGTGATCATATAACAGTTTGCATACTGAAATAGGTTCAACTTGGACGGTGATTCTTCTAGACCTTGAAACATGCAAAAACGATGTGCGTATAATATGGGTTAATTTTAATCCGTAAAAAAAGACAAATAAGTAGTAATACGAATTGTTAACAAAAAACTTTTTTTCCTTCTACTCTGATGTAATTGAGGGTCTGCGCAATGATTGTTTTTTATTATATAGAATATAAATAATGGCCTAAATACTAAAAAAGAAAATTCTGAGACACGGATACAGGAGGGGCGCATGGTGCAGAAAAATCCCGAAATTTTTTATATTACTTTATATTAAAAGAAGTGGTGCTGTCATTTCGGTTCCGCAGTTTTTTAATAAATGCACGTTAAAAGTAAAAGTGAAGTCCGTTATACTACAGTATAAGTATCGGTAAAATTTCCGTGAGGACGTTTGTTTTGAGGTTGTTACATAGTTCAAGTCTAGTCTGGTTTAATCCTTGAAAGGTCGGTTCATAAAATAACCGTCCCAATTAGGATCAGAGCTTTAAAAACTTTATTTATGCATTATACCATGTTTTGAGACAGGTGAGCACGCGCCTTTTCATTATCTGATCGGTTACACTGCACTTTAAAGTGCGCTAGTAAACAAAAAAAACCTGCTCGCCGGAAATCAAATTGTGGACCATTCAAAAGTATATAGTTGTTTACTGTATTGAATTCATCTTTAACAGATGATACATCTACTCGATATGTTCATTCAGTTGCTTTTTACATGCAGTATCGGTTATTACCGGAGACCACTGCATACAGGTACCCATCACGGTTTTTCTTCGATAGTGCTTTTCTTTTTTTTTTTTACCAAGTAACTTTTCAGGTGGAATGATCAATACCCGGGTACCCCATGCGGTGATCTGGTCTACGGTAATATTGAAATTTATTATTTTTATTTTTTTTATTTTTATTATTATTTTTATCACTGATTTTCCAACAACACATCTTGATGAAAAAATATGAATGTGTATATACTATATACGAAGATACTATTATACGAAGATACTATATACAAAGATACTATATACCATATACCATATACCATATACCATACCAAGAATTCTGAATAATATCTACTGTATAAATTTATACTGTATGTACTATATACATGTATAGATGAAATAACAAAAGTCATTGAATAAGCATGAAATCCAATTAGAGATTACGTAACAGAATGCGATGTACATTTTTTTTGGTGAGAATATGATAGAATATTTTCATTTTCGTTACGTAATGCACACCTTATCACCATAACTTGACCTCTGTCAGATTAGCTGCATATGAAATAAATTAATCCTCATTTATTCACAGAATTAAGCGGCGACAAGAACTTTGCCTTGTTTGGAAAAGGCGTTTTTCTGTTGCATTGTCTCGAAGTTTTTATGCACGTGTACATTACACGTTGACATACTTTTCGCATATTATGTATGAAACAACCATTCGCGAATTGAATAAAAATGAAATTCCTTCATTTATCTTCACAAAGTTCATTGATGCTTTCTTTTATTGAAACCTTGGTTTCTTTTTTTGATCCAGATCGATGAACCGTGATCTGGCGATGTCAGGTACAAATCTGATGGTAAGATACATAACCGGGATGTAACCTCCCAACAAATGTCGGGCGGTTTTTAAGCATACTTTGAGAAAAAAAAAAAAAAAAATAAGAATATAAATTGTCCGTAAAAAGTTTCCTATTGATGATTAAATCATTTATAATATATACTATATATATATATATATATAAAATTATAATATAGATAATACAAGTAAAAGGAAAAAAAAAAAACTATAATGTTATTTCTTATTAAGAAGCGTGTTTGAGGGTGATTCAATAAAAAAAAAGATCTACTGTATACGCATTTTACTAGAATTTCTTCAGATGGTCGATCGTCATCCTCCTAGGTAGAAAAATCATTATGTAAATTTTTTTTCCTTTTTCAAAAAATTGATTCGGTTCAAAGGTACATGTAAGGTAAAAAAACTTTTGTTATTCCATTGTTCATTGTCAAAATTTTGTTTTACAAAGTCCAAGTACAATTCATCTCGATCACGATCCACATGATCCATAACTCTCTCGGCTTTAGAATCTTTCCATAGCCGAACAACCAACATCTGTGGCCTCGGTAGGCCAAAGTCGGACATCATTTGTGAGTGGATAATAGGTGCTCAACGTTTCTGTTAAAAATTCCTTCATGCTCTTCCCCAATGTCGACCGCTTCATCGCCCACTTTATGATCGCGATAAGTTGAAGGTTCGTCAACACATGATTTGAATCAATCGCAAATAAAATTTGTTCCTGTATTTCAAACGGAAGTCTTGTGAAAATCAATTTTTTTCGAGGTGAA